GATGGAATTACAAGCAACCCGTGCAGCGCCCGTTGCATTACTTTGCTAGATTGAATTTTTATCGAAATCGCATCACTTAGCGAAATTTGGCAGCGGCCCGGCCGGCTTTAAATCGGCCCAGTTTTTCGGGGGCTGTTCACTCGAACGAATTCATCGAATCGTCGAGCGGACAGAGCCGGCGTTGGCGAGAGGGGGGTAGGTCGGGTAAAGAGTGGCGCATCCGGTCGACGCTGTTTATTCGTTACAGCGAAATTGAATCGCGAGTCAACAGAGCAGGGGGTTACAAACACTTTTCCACAGGGTGCGGGTTACCCGATAGTACGCCTTTTTGCTCGTTTTAATGAGTAACGAGGCAAATCACAAATTAACTGTCATTTCCCATTCGCTAGCGATTCATTGATCACGGGTCCTCGGAAATCAAAGAACAAAAGTAATTCCAACGAGATGTCTTCTCTTGCGTCAAACAATAATTACACCTGTTCCACTGACTTTGATATCTCGTTTTCTCTTGGTTTACTTTCTTTTTTTTCCGTTCGGTTATTCTCTGGTCTATTTTCACGTGGAGCCTGAGAATGGGATGATAGGACATTGGGGGATTATCGAACATCCTTTGGAAAACGCAACGAATTTCCTGTTATCCCGTGCCAGTGCCGGCCGATCGAGCTGATCTTTAATTTGAGCAAGAATGAAAGACGGGATGGTGGAAGATACGTAGAAATTTATTACCGGTGGACGATGCCGCTAACGAATGTGTCCCGCGGGAACGGAACGGCTGGACAATGCAGTTTTCCAATTTTCACCGTGCTTCCACCACTCCATCCCTTCCTCTACCATCCTACGTCGAAACTGCACGAGCCTCAGTTCGACCTCTCCTGGTCTACCTAGTCCTCCGCGCTTTCACCCTTTATCTTCCGTAACCCGAACAATCATAAAGCATGTTGATTCACGGCCCGTCGTAAATTTAGCGTTATTTTATTCTCGGCCGGGTATCGTTTAAACGACTCGCAAGTACCGCGTTTCGCTCTCCAACGGCGTACGGGCCGTGATCGAATCGATTTAGTGGCCGCGGAATCGGGGGAAATTTGATTGCGCGCCTGTTACTCGAACGTTGCAGCTTGGATAATGACTTGCCGATGGGATCCAGTGTATTGCAAATAGATTCGAATCTAAGTGTACAGTTACGAACACCTGGTGAGTACTTCGAAAAAAGAAACAGTACTTTTAACCCACTGACGTAGTTAAACGTAACAGTAGATCACACGGTTTATCTGCCATTTTTGGTACTATTGTTGGAAATTTTCACTGTTTCTCTGAGTTGTTGCTTAGGAGAAATAATAATTCCACTTCGTTGGGTTCAAATTTCTCGTCAATACATTTAGAAGTAATAATATATATTTGGTAAAATACACATGTATGTTATTAAGATTTTACAGAACTATATAAAGGATTACAATATTATAGTAAATTAATAATAAAAGATAAGAATACATAAGAATGAAAATTCTGTACTATGTGATAATATTCCATTTATAACTGTTTCATTGAAACACGGCGATATTTATGCGAGAAGCTTATTTCATCACATCGGTTGCCACAGTGAAAAAAGTCGTCCGTAGTCAGACACACTTTATGTCGTTTTTTACGTCCTACATCGTCCAAATATATATGCATTTAGTTAATTGTTCTAAACTATACTGCAATATGAATTCTACGCAAAAATGTTCCAACGATATTTGAATAATCCAATCCTCTCTGCAATGTACATTTCAACTATATTTGGGTAACCAAGCAGTCAAAGTGCTAATCAAGGAATATATTATTGTGTCAAACACACACACACAGCTCTAATAAACTCGTTTCGCTGACTTAATTCCAAAAGACAGACAGTGAAGGGCGAAATTGGGCGAGCCGAGTGTCGTCCGAAAGAATTTCGCCTAGGTCAGCGATTAATTTAGAAGACCCCGACCCCAGGTTTCCGGGACGCCCCCGGGGCCAATTTTATGTGAGATCGGAGAGTTGAAGTTTTCGGAATTTATAAATGAAAATTCGCCCGGGACCCCGATTCCCCCGTCCCCCTTTCCGCCCCGAAATTGGCCGGTTCCCCGAGAATTTTATATTCAGGACATTACTGCGTGCTGAATTATTTTTCAAGTTCGGACAGGGTCGCTCCGACCGGTAGCTGCAGCTGAAGTAGCCTCGGGACGTTGGTGGTGGTGACTGTTTCCGGTCGAGGGAGCCTTGTCATCCAGGTTCCAACTACCCTTCCTTCCCCCCCACCCATCGCTGGACCACCACCCTCCGGAATCGTTGCCGTTCCACCCTTCCAACGTGGTCGTTCCGCGCAAGACGATTTCCCCAACTTTTTTGCCCGACCTCGACAAATTCGGTTTTTAATGTCCTGCCTCGGAAACGACCGAGTCATTACCATCGATTCTGCGTGTGGGTCGCGAGTTCTTGGGATATCGAGAGGGGGTTCTGAAACAAACACTTGACAGGTAACATTTAAGTGGTTGCGTCAGATCGATAATTACAGTAAATTATCGATGAGTATTACTGAACTACGGGCGATATGTGGCTGAAAGAAATACTATTGGCTTTAGAAGTCTTTATCACTCTGATAAATCTCATTAAAGGGTCAGTTTTAGATCTGCATTTCTTCTTGTCAGTATCAAAGAGCCTTCGAACACTCGTCGATATTTACTGTACTTTCTTCCTAATAGAATTTATGGCTGATATCCATTATACGAATGGAACGAAGTCGAGAGAGGTACTTTGAAGAGGTCGCTGTTAAATTAACCTGACTTCCTGCCAGCGAAAGGGTAACATGGGGTGGAAACCTCGTTGGACAAGGGTATGTAACGTTCGACAGCCACGTGTGGAGGGGATGTCGGAGGAAAACAGAGGGTAGAGAGGTACTCGTTCCCTGACCATTCAGGATTCAGCCTAGGACGTCCAGTTTCTGTAAGTTCTTTTCTATGTTCGTATGGTATATTTTTGTCCATTAGGTTCGTTCGTAGAATGACTGTTGAGCTTGATTCTGATAGGAATTATTAACTTACCTGTAATTCATAATGCATGAAAGGGAATATGGAATAGGATGGTAAAATGATACTCGTGTTATTACCTTCGAATGATTTTATTTAGAAACATCGTACAAAGTGTAACGTGTGTTTAAATTATTAAAAGATACCCCAGTGCCCTCCGCCAGATCATTTAAATATGAACGTGCAATGAAAATTCGACGTGAAGATAAATTCGTGTTGATTCGGTGTGCATTAAGAAATCTAGTTTAAATGCTTTTAACAATAAATACTACTCTAGAGACGCCGGTAGACTGCTAAAGTTTATCCATTTAATTGATTAACTTTTTAACATTCTGTGGGCAATGTGGATCGTTGACGACCAAAGTAAAATTTCATTTTTCCCGGACTTCCCTCGGAATTCGTATTTTTATAGACAGAAGTTTTAATTGTATAATGTAGCAGAGGCCCCGATAAGTATCTCAGAATTTTTTCAAATTTTTTGACGACCTAGAACAGGAATGAAATTACACTTTGGAATTTAGGACCCAGTTTACTTACAGAGTATGAAAAAAAAAATGTTTGTCTACGAAGGGTTAACTTAATGAAACCCTTAATAGATTCGTATAAACGTTCACAGTCTAGTTATCAGTAAGTGTGCGTGTTTATTCGTTTTAAATTCGTGGAAACTTGTCTGAACAACGACAACCGAGTACTGTAACCTTAATTATTTACAATTCTGCGACATTCCAGCCGAGAACCGCGGAGACGAATCACCCCGTATCCTGCCTGTCTCGGTGAATAAAGTTATAAATTAAAGATTTCATTAATGCTGGGCTCCTTGGCGCGGAAAAGGCATCGACGTGGCTAAGATACAGGATATTAAATCACCCCTCACATCCTTTGACGCTTGCACGGCCACTTTAATCCCATTCACTTCAAGGGGAACGTTCAAGGAAGCGCCGTGAATTGCAACGGCGAATTGAAGAAGACGTTCCGACGCGTCGAGATCAAGCGCAGCCATTGCGACGTCACTTACTGAATTATTTACGTAAAATATAAATTCCCGTGGCCAGGTGACCCTCATCTCGCGACCACTTTACCGACAAATCGCATTTCAATCGTCCTCTCGATTCATCCTGCCACCCCCTTATCCATTAATACGGACAATTTAATGTTCAACGATTCTTCTGGTACATTTAAATTTCAACTGCGTCGATAGCTACTTTAATCTTAGCAGCTAAACTTAAATACACGTAGTGTCTGGAGCTTGACATTATGAGCTTCTATGATCACTGGACTACAGCTACATCGAGGTAATAATCATTTGACAATATTTTGTAAAATTTAAAATGTCCACAAATACTATGTTTCAAATACAAAAGGAAACAAGCCTTCCTTTAGACCTGTGTGGCGGTGATTATGAAAGTTGTCTAAGTCAATTAACCATCATCTGTCCCTTGTGTCAATTTGACAGTTTTCTCCTAAGAAATGACGTTATTCTTCCATGTGTAGATAAACTTGGCGGAATCTTCGTGACTTTTACTTTAAAGAATTTGCAAACTTAACTATCTCTAACTTCGTTGTATTAATTTTTACCACTGGGTAAATTTGACACCGAGGGACAAATTAAGTTGGGAAAACGAGGGACAGATGAAGGTTAAATATCCTGCAAAAATGCATATTATTGTAACGTAAATCGATGTAATACAAAATAATTGATACGTTCAATTTATTATAGACTTTTTACTTACTCCAGTTTCATAATCACCGTCACAATTATAATTTCCATAAACATCCCCCCTTACCCTCGCCACATAAATTACCTTCTACTTTCGTAATTTGAAATTTCAAGGAAACATCATAGCATCTCCGAAATTTCCGCCCGAGAAACGTGTCATCGCCCTCTAATCGATGTATCCAGCTTACAGTTTGCAGTCGTTCTTGGTAGAATTTCTAGCAGTGTTCCCCCTCTACCCCCTTCAACAGGGAAACAGGCGTGAAATACTGTCGGTATATGTGTACGTGAGGGACGCTATTGCAGGAAAGTTTGGCTGTTTCGCGCGAGTATTAGAAACCACGAGAACGGAAGTAGAAGCACGGGCCAGTGGGTGACGTCGCATCCGGAAGAGACGTATCCGGCGTCACGTTGCATGGCTTCCGTGCGTTCCCCTGGAACAGAAAATACAAAAATCTTCGTTAGTTCTCGCGGTTGTCTCGCGAGCCGCGGGACAATCATCAATTTATGAACGGTCGTGTGGGGAACGAACTGGGATCGTATCGGTGTTCGCGAAAGAATAATGAAACCACGGACTCGTAAATCAATGTCCACCCAGTGGACTATCGGATTATAGGTTTTTCCCTGGGTGACGGGACTGGCCGTGGGAGAAAAGGTCTTCATTAATTACCATGCTCTTTAGCGCGAGCGGCGGCGAAGCTTGGGACGAGGCTGACAAATAATTGCTCGTGAGTTCTTCGAACGTGAGTAATTTAGTTCGCCTAATCTCTCGAAACATAGTATTACGTTGAGGTTGCGAAAGTGTTCCTATAGTTGGTCCAACTCTAATCACACGAAACGTAGTACAGTAATGTCTCGATAAGTGCAATTATTTCAACATTCGTAATACAGTAAGTCGTCGATGAGTGCTCGAAAGCTCCTCGTGGAACTAGTGAAGCCTTGAATGGTGGGAATGACGTCTGAAGATTCAGTGTCGAGGAGCCTTCGAGCACTCATTGATGATTCACTGTATTATCTTGAGGTCGTGACAGGGTTTTTGTATACTTGGTTCAGCCATAATTTCTTAGAAAATAGTATTACGTTGAGGTCGTGAAAGTATTCTACCGTGTAGCCCTCAAGAAATAGGGCATTCAACCCTCCTAGATTATTCCAAGGCACCGTTACGTTAATTTAATTATTTTCTGAATTAAATTACATAGGAATGAAGGTAGCGGAATGAATATAAGAGTTGATGGCGACACGGAGAAGTGGTGGATCGATATTGACCGAATTTTTTGTTCCAGCACAGCTGTCAGGAAAAGGTTGTCCACGGTGTGCAAAGGATTTCGCGTGTTCAAACGTTCCCCTAATTCGCGATGGAGGCGTTACACCGCCTCACGTAAATGTAAAGAACGTGCCTCGAGCAGATGTCGACGGACACGTGTAAGTACGCTCAGCTGCGTCTACAGGAAGACGGTTCCCGTTCCCAGAACATGTTTCATAAGGTATGAGCCACGTGCGTAGGAGATTCCCGCGGTTTAACACCGCGGTTATATTAAATTGCTCGGTGGAAATTCCCCCACCACGCACCCTCTGAGCCCAGAATTCCGCCCGAGACACCCCAAAATTAAAGAAACAACGCGTTCAACGTGCCAGCGAGTAATTACCCCAGAAATTTCATTTTCCGCAGATAATAATCGGTCTATTAATAATTAATTTATTTTTTAGAAAAAAAAAAACTGCCTCTACTCGATGCTTTTTCGGTTCTCGATCGTGTAAACGAGGAACGTTTCATAGGAAAATACCGAGTACGAAATTACGAATCGTTTGACTTTCCTTTTATCGAGGAACGGATTAATTGGAAATGCTCGCGATTCGATATCACTCCGAGGGGATTTTTCCTTTTCACAGGGGCTGACTCGAAGGGGCGGCGAAAGGATTTCCCAGGATTTTCGCGTTTATGGGGGTGGGAGAAACACATCGTGCGCGTTTCGTCGAGCTGTCGATGCCCGGATACAGAAAGTGGTTAAAGTCGTTAAGGACGAGGCAGAAACCCCCCTCCATTTGGCTGCAACTATTGGCTGCTTGGAGCTCTTGAACTGGCCACGTCTTAGGGAGTGCTTTACGGGTACCAACACCAGCGGAATCTTGACTTTTCGGTGGAGCCCCCGCTAACGGGTACTTTATTTTCTGAAATTACTTTTTTAACGATTTCCACCCCTGATTACACAGCCCCTTGATCCCTCTAATGGCAACGGTACGAGCGATTCGCCAGAGAAAAACGGCTTCGTGTCAGTCTATGTACATTAGAATCCAGTAAATTCTTTCATCTTTCTCTCCTCGTTCTCCCTCGTACTACCCTACGAAAGTGGTACTTTGGCTTCACGCTCCCATCTTGTCCGCGGCCAATTTTCGCAGTTTCAACCGAGTAATTATGCTTTCATATTCTCGAACGATTAAAGCGTTCAACTTTCGCCGCGTTGTTAGCTTTACGTCTTTGAATTACGTGGCGTCTGATCGCGCAGTTTTTCACCGACAGAACTTAATCGGTCCTACATAAACGTGTGAAAATTCAGATGTTGGATTTTCGAATCGCTGATTCGCTCAATTATACTCAATCATTGCCTCTATCCTTCATTCCACTGTCTGGAGGATCTTTTTCCCTTGAAATTTTACCCTTTTCACTTGAAGACCAATGGCTTCGTGAAATTCACTGACCTCTCGATTCGTAAATTCCCCTGATAGTACGATTCTAATTGCATTCTATCCAAATATTGCGTTACATCATTCAATTATACCGACTCGATAACTTGTAGTGCCATCCCGATGTTGCGGATTCCGTTCACTCTAACAAGGATCGATGATGATTGATTGTAGGACGTTAGCTCCGGTTTCTAGAATTCAAACGGTTGCGGCCAATAGATACTGAGATCCATAACCAGTTATGTAGTCGCGGGCCGAATACATGTCATTAGTGGTATGATTCAGCCGGTCACCGAGGATGGCCTTTGATATCTGATTGTGTACACTAGATAGCTAAGTTAGCTCATTTGCCTTTTCATTAATGAAACATCAGATCATTCTTCCACACCGATACAGATGTCCTCTATAGTCACAAGATTCGCAACTATCAGGTCGTTTCAATTCACTCCAATTCGTCGATGACTATCTCCCTTTCTCCACTAGCAAGCTCTGCCTGCTATAACTTGTCATGTATAGTAGTGATTGCATTGACTAACTTCCATTAGTAGACCACGAATCGTGATCAGTAGAGATCACTCTGTTATTAGCAGTCCGATCGAAAATGCTTTTACCACGTATATCATGGTTTCAAGAGAGCTTTAACGTGGTTATAGCAAATTTTTTGTGAACTCTTTTTTTTTTCATGATTTTTCAAGTTCACCTTCAATTTCGTGCAAATACACCTATAATATTTTCACGCCTATCTGTTAGAGGATTTCAAGACGAATTCGGTATCATAACATAACATGTGTTACTTTTTTTTTAATTGAATTTTTGAAAGGAAATTGAATGTGACCTTGGAAAGTTATGAAAGAAAGAATTGACAAAAAATTTGCTATAACCACGTTAAAGCTCTCTTGAATCCACGATGTACCTGATAAAAACATTTTCGATCGGACTACTAATAACAGAGTAATCTCTACTGATCACGATTTGTAGTTCACCCTGTGTAAGCAACACATATCATACGGTGCCAATTGCTTAAACATGACAGGTTCCAGTATTGTTCCAACCTAGGTGATGGCCTAAATTCAGCAACCTTCCCCTACACACAAAGAAGTCAATTCAGCACGGTGCTTTGAAGTGCCAAGGTAGGCAACCCCATGAAACCATGAAGCTATCATTGATCCTCCCAGATACAATGATCCCAGGATAGCAACCTTACTTGGAACCGCTGACGTTTTCAACGGTTACACGTGATCAGAATACGTGACGTTCTTCATCGTTAATGCAGGCGATAGAGTAGGAGACTAGAGAGGATGAGGCCAAGTCTAAATCTTTGTCGACGCGATTAGGTTCACGGTCGATGGAACGTTTCGTGCATCGAAGCCTATCCCTTGCGGTTTACGCGATTTCCTGACGGCATTCGAGGAGACTGTCGCTACTTGCCGTCGGCCCTCGTGGCCGGAAGATCACGACGGATTCCGGACACCGACGCGCAATCCCTTCCTCGTCCCTTTGTCCAAGGCTGGGTATCAAGGGTAGTTAATTGGCTGCCGGTGCAGGGCACGGTCAATTGACCATCTAATTAGAGTGGCATCGACGGATTTTCGATCGGCGTTGCTTGGCATTAATCGGTGATCTCCAGCCTGGAGGCGCCGAATATTCGTCAATGACACCGAGAGGTGACGTACAGGAAGGGTTGAAGGTGAAAGTAATCCTTCTGGAAATTTATTGCGGGCCTGAGAATATCCTGGTGGCTTGCATAAAGTGTTCAGAAACAGGACAATAATTTTTGTTCAGAGGTAGGTGGTTCTGACATCCATTTTTTTTTCTTGAAAGTCCTCATTATTTTCTGCAATAGAATATGAATACAGGAGGAATAAAAGGAACGTAATGTGGACAGTGACTATGCCCCTTACAGTAAATCATTAATTTAGATCATTTTCGAAGGCTCCTCGGCACTGAACAATAAATATTTCATAAACCAATGGCCATATGCGGCTGAAACAAATATCACCGACTTCAGAATTCCAAGATTTATCAACTGCACTCGAACACTCATCAATGATTTACTATATTACGAATCCTTTGATTTTGCGAACGAATAAGTCTTTCAATGATAACATTAAATGTCTCGCTGAGCACGTTAAACATCGAATATTCACAGGTTGATATTTCATTGGAATTTCTATGACGCTACCAAATGAAATCCCCGTGCGAATTTCCATCTGGTTCCCCCACTCCTGAACTAAAACGTCCAGATATCCTTGGAATAAGTCGCAACATTATTTTCCGTCCGACGAGTCCTCCCAGTGCTCCAATATGTCGCCGTCTCGGCCGAGAGATTCATGGCCGCTTTCGAGATTTTTAAATATATATGCATACATCGGCGTAGACACCGCGGGAGGAACTTCGCGAGGAGTTTAACAGTTAACGACTCCCCGAGCTGTCGTTTATATGGCTCCAAATTTCATTTTCCGCCACGTCCCCTCTTTTTCTCGTGCTGTCCCTTTACCAGCCGGGTTTTGCCACGCTTAAACCCGGGACTTCCTGAAACATTATTAAATTTCAGAATCCGAAATATTCGCAGGAATTGCAACCAAGAAATTCATTTTCTTTCGTCCCTGCTTTGTCTTCGTGTTATTAAAAAATTTACCAGGACGGGCTCTTGCGGGAAACGCGCATGAAAGGATAGACATATGTGTGTAGGAAGTAAGTGCCCTTTTTACTTTGAAACGAATAATGATAAATTATCATGTTGCGGGTTCTT